CACTCTGCTGTACTGTCCCCCCCCCCCCCCCCCCTTTGATTAGGTGTTTGCATCTTTTTGCAATCACATCTGATCACATTTACTTATTGTAAATTAGACCGTGACACAATGTTCAATTTTAGCATTTTGAAGATTCCCCAATGCGACAAAGATGGCAAAGAAGGGTTATAACCGTCCCTTACTCTATCTAAAACCATTCTGTGTTCTACTTTAAGTATCTGTTCTGCTGGTGTTGCGGCTCCTAAGGTAACAACAGTCTGTGTATTTCTGGTTTGCACAGAACGAAAGGGCACATGGAACGAGAAGAAGAGGAAAGCCTTTGAGCGGCTCAGTGTTGGGGAAGAAGTTTGTGGATTTAACTCTTTCCGGCCAGCAACTCTCACAGTCACAAACTTCTTCAAGCAGGTGAGATCTACTGTATGTGGAGGGGAAACTAGTTGTATGCTACAGTCAATCCCAGAAGAGGTTATAGCTTATCTCCAGTAGTTAGACGCTACTATATTGAAAGCATATTACAAGACTGGTATATTGTCTTGGTACCACACCTCTAATACATCATCATAACTGAAAAATATAATGTTATTTTCAGGACTTTTACTACTTGTACCACTCTCACTAGAGGACATTTACCACTTGTAAAACACTTGGTCCCCCCGTCCAGCTCCAATTTACCAAAATGAAATGTCTGCCCTACTGTCTGAATGTGGTTCAGGTTGTAAGAGTCTAGGGTCTCTCAATCACTGCTTTGCTTCTTTCAGGGGGGCTGATTCCCTTTTTGTAATCTCGGACGGACCCTCTAAGGGTGCACTGGGCCCTCTCTCCACCATATCCAGATGGCTCAGACAGACCATCATCCAAGCTTACGGTCTCTTTGTTGTGCTTCCCAACCTTCAGCTGGGCAGCTTTTGGACATCCCACAAATTGAAGACTTCCTGTGTTCCTCAGTGGATGATAAAGAAAAATAGCATTTTTTGTACTTACCATGAAATGCATTTTTTGGGGGAGTTTATTGAGGGTCAAAGGTCCTACCCCTCTGTGTTTAGTAACATGTTCTTGGTACTGCTTTGCTACCAAACTAAGGCATACTGGTAGTGACAGAGGTTATTCTGGGCTGGTTTATAGTTTTTTTTTGTTTGCCAATTCCCCTGTAGGCAGCAGTATAAACCAAAAGTTTATCACTTCCCATGCCCCTCAATGGATACCAAGAACACGTTGACAGCAAAAATCCTTTTATTGTGGTTCACCATAGCAGTTCACATATGTATTTCATCTGCATTTTAACTTCTACTGAAGTTCACACTTGTAATTTTCTAGTGCAGATTTCAGTTTTGTTGGTGGTTTGGTAGGTAATGCACTTCTCTCAGTTGTTGAGTGACTATCTCAATATATTTTGCAGGAAGGAGACCGTCTGAGCGATGAAGATCTCTACAAGTTCCTGGCTGACATGAAGAGGCCATCAACTGCATTACGCAGATTACGGCCAGTGACAGGTAACGCTCATGTGCAGATACTTTCAAGTTTTTACTTCGTCACAATGAGTGACTATATGATCATAGATAGATAGATTTTTATATAAATATATACCCACTGGATACCCACAACATTATGACCACCCACCTAGTTTTGAGTAGGTCCCCCTTTTGCTGCCAAAACGGCCCTGAACCCTCAATACATGGGCTCCACTAGACCTCTGAGGTTATGCTGTGGTATCTGGCACCAAACCGTCAGTAGCAGATGCTTTAAGTCCTGTAAGTTGCAAGGTTGGGCCTCCATGGACTTGTTTTTCCAGCACATCCCACAGATGCTCGATTTGGATTGAGATCTGGAGAATTTGAAGGCTAACACTTAAAAATCATTGTTGTGTTCCCATGTTGTGTACCATGTTTGCAGTGTGGCAGGGCTTATTATCCTGCTGATAGAGCCCACTGCCATCAGGGAATACCGTTTCCATAAAGGGGTGTACTACAATATTTAGGCAGGTGGTAAGTGTCAAAGTAATATCCACATGAATAGCAGGACCCGAGGTTTCCCAACAGAACATTGGCCAAAGCATCACACTGCCTGTGTGTGTGTGTGTGTGTGTGTATGTATGTGTATATATATATATATTACTGAGTGGCCAGATTATTATGACCACCCCATCAGTACTTCGTTGGGCCATGAGATAACTCCACGAGATGACTTCGTTGGGCCGCCTCGTGACTCCACGAGATGTTGAAAGGTGATGCGAGGAATCTGACACTGCACTGCTGCCCTTCTGTTGTTTTGTACCAGTCTTATCGGACTAACAAAATATATAAAAGACAAGCTTTCCAGAGTGAACCTCTCTTCTTCTTCAGGGCAGAAGCAATACTGATCAACATGACAGTTTGTCAGTTAAGACAGGAGAAAGCAGTTACCTCCCCCTCCTCTAACAGCTTTCTCCTGTCTTAACTGACAAACTGTCATGTTGATCAGTATTGCTTCTGCCCTGAAGAAGAAGAGAGGTTCACTCTGGAAAGCTTGTCTTTTATATATTTTGTTAGTCCGATAAGAAAGGTATCATTGCACACTGCAATACTACGGTTTTGTTTTTTTTACATATACAATGTAATGCTTTTCAAATCATTGCATAAGTTACATAAATGGTAACACTTAGCGGACTCTCATCTCGGTTTCCCTTGTGCAATTACAAGATGCAGCAACTTCTATTTCTTTGCAAGACTGCTGTGTTTATGCAAAATCAGTACATACAGGGCATCCGCATCCACACCCTTTATAAAGCCCACAGGTAAATTATAATCTCTAAACTGAGATGGTGCCAATGATAAAACACATCAACAGGTAAGATAGCTACATAACACATAATATAGTAAACCCCGTAATTGTTTATCCCCAGATCCCAAAAATATAATGGTGATGTCTATACAATTCTTGATGTATCATTGCAGGTAACATCTGAAAGAAGAATATAGAAACCAGCAATCTCTCTAGGTTGAGTGTCACACAGCGTGTAATTGAGCCTAACCTGGTCTAATATGTTTTAAAACAAAAATATATACTGGGAAGAAATGAGTAAAGATTTTATTAAATATCCTACAACAATCTGATTAAAACTAAAGAAAATTATATTAAAAGAAGCTGTTTGTAGAAAAATGCAGTATTCCAAAATTGGATTAGAAGATTCAGAAGGAGTTATCTGCACCCTTTATGTAGAAGAATTTGTTAAATATATATTTATTTTTTTAAAGGGGGGAAAAGTCCAGGTCTGGATGGGTTCCTAAATTAATTTGATATAATCTTTGCAGACAAGTTACATCCCCATTTTATAAATATGTTAAATACAGTAGAAAGGTAGCAAAAGTTATTTTTTAAGTCAAGTATGGAAATTCTAGAACCTCTGTCAGCTTTTTATTGTTTGTCTCACTAGTGCAGATTTCCCTTGAATTCTTATGTGGTAAAAGCTAACGGAATCCTGGGTAGCAGTAAAATCAGACATGAGTTCTAACCTGTCCCCATTCTAGATGAAAGCTGAAAAACTAAGTTTTGGGTAAAGATGCACTTTAATTTTCTTGTATCATCTAAAGCCAAGACGTTCTAGGGGTTCAAAAGAATCCCCCTTTATCAGGGTCTGGTACTGCTGTGAGAACGGTGCACTGAACTGATAAAACTGGGGGATCCTAAAGGGTATTTAGTATGATCACCCCAGATGCCAGTTAAGACTCCTGGGAGAGCTGCCTAAGGATAATCAATTCTATTACACTGCTTTCATCTACTGCTCCAGGTTTTTATTTTTGTCTGTGTCCCAGCTGGGGAATTTACCTTTTCTATTTGTCCTAGTGACGACCATTGTCACCTGGGCAAAAAATGATGGGAAATCTAAAAGTTACAGTTGTCACCTAAACTGGAACGAGGGTAAAAATCCTCCAATGGGGACACCTGTTGTGGTGTTAGATGTCTAATGGGGAATTTGCTCTCCTCAGCACAAGAAATGTCTTGACAGGAGTTTTAACCCTTCCAAATTATGTGACTGTAGATAAACCTAAAATAACATTACAGATATTAACTTATCTAATACCATGGAATGTAATCCTTTTTTTTTTTTTTTAGCCCAACTCAAGATTGACGTCTCTCCTGCTCCTGAGATGCCGCAGTTTTGCCTGTCTCCAGAGCTGCGTCATGTTAAGCCGTACCCCGACCCTCGTGTCCGTCCTACCAAAGAGATCCTGGAGTTCCCCCCTCGGGATGTCTTCTCACCGTACTCCTCCTACAGGTGAGATGTTTATCCTATAACAGAATGTCCGCATTGTGACTTCCCATCGAAGGACCACTATCACCAACATAGTGGGCCTGATAAACTATACATGGCACAGCGCAGTGTATATTTGTAGGCACAAACATGTGCACAGAGCACCCTGGGGGACCTCTTTTTATTAGGTCTATATGGCACAATGATAGCACACACCTGCTATGCTTTCACAAGCCGCCTGCCCCCGTCCTCCTCCCCTCTGCTCAGCTGTCGGCCCACTGTGCAGAATTGCACCTGGTCAGACCAGACCCAGATCTGCGGCTAATATCTACGTCACATTGCAGTGCAGATATAAGTCTATAAGGCTCCGAAACTGCGGCATTCCTATGACAAATCACAATTTATCATTTTCTAGCTTCGCAAATCCTCTTCAGCATAGGTGCACCATGGTTATTTGGCACATGTCATGTGTGCGGCACAAGTGCACCGAAACTATGTCGGAAAAACAAGTTCATCCACCCCACTGTACTCTCATAACTTTATTGAGTTTGCTACCTCCATGATAGTATTCAGAATAGTTATACATTTTGTATTTTACATGTCTGTATTTATATCTTTCTCCACTTTTTGTGCACACTCCAAAGACATGATGGTAGGTTAATTGGCTCCTCTCTAAGTTTGCCCTCTATGTATGTATGTGAGATAGGGACCTTAGATTGTAAGCTCCTTGAGGGTAAGGACTGATGTGAATGTGCAACTATGTAAAGTGCTGTGTAAATTGTCGGCGCTATATAAATACCTGTAGTAATAATAATATCAAGCTAAGCAGTAACAATGCCAACTATTGCTGCAACTGCTCCAGTGACCCTGGAAGAGTTATAGTTTGTGGGGAAACCTTTGTCAAGTTATTATTTCCATCTGAGCCCCTTTTAGTGAAGATTTCCCCTCGCTTCCTGTCCCAGTGTCCTCCATAAAATTGTTGAACTTCCTGTTTTCTCTCTTTGTGACTTCTTATGGACAACCCACTAGGGACTTGTAACAATACCCCTAGAGGATTCCTTGTAGCTACAAAATGTGCACCAGAGAGGAGGTGAGCGGTGATCCTTCCCAACTGGGAAACATATGGCACTAAAAAACCGGCAAATGATTTAACTTTTCTCCACGGTATTCAGAACCTAAAAAAAAATGCATTTTCATGCTGAATTTACCAAATGTTTGCTATTTTCCCCTAGCCATCCATATACCTGGGCTTGGAACCTTGTACCCACGGGTAGGCAACGTTGTCACTCCAGCTGTTATAAAACTACAAGTCCCATGAGGCATTGCAAGACTGACAGCCACAGGCATGACTCCCAGAGGCACAGGCATGATGGAATTCGTAGTTTCACTACCGCTGGAGTGCTGAGGTTGCCTACCCCTGTTGTAGCCACTCTACGTACATAATAGGCAGTTATGTAGGAACGAGGTGTTACACAACAGTTCATATGTAACCATTGCAGTGCTCTACCACAGTGGTCTACTATTAAAGTGGAACTCCACATGTGTATTGTCACCAGTATATGATTGCAGGGCCCCAATCGTCTTACCTGGTGCAGGAACCCCACCTAAAACAATCATCACGTGCAAATTGTAAACTGGTGTTCCTATGCAAAGAATGTCGGGACTCCTGGTCATACATGTGCCTCCCAGGCTTTAGAAAAGTCTTTACTATATATAAACAAGATATAGGTCACAGTGAAGCTCCCAGAATAGCTTGGGAATGGCAGCAATGCAGTACATAAAAATGTCAACATTTCAGCAAATTGTTCCCGTTCAATCGTTAAATGAAATGTGTGTGCCCTCATTGACTGGTGGGGTGGGACGAGCGCGGTCATATATATGTAAACATATGAGAACAATGTTAAACATTTACACTGACTCCGATGCAGAGTATAAACACGAGAGCTCGCAGACATTTTCCTATATTACTTGACAAGACCGCTGTGTTTATACAAAGGGTACGAAGGCTTCAGAAATGTCTTTTAACTACTTTTACATTTCTTTCAAGCTAATCGGCACTTTTCTGGGTGTTTTATATGGCTGAAGTCATTTTTCCACAACAGAATGGGCTCCTACACCAGGGTGCTTTTTGGCTTCCTCAAGCGTGCCTCATCGCCTTGCCTATCCAGGGTGCAGGCAGGTTCCTGATGTAAAGGGAGAACTTTGACGTGAAAGAGGGGGCACTCCGATATGAAAGGGGGCTTCTGAAATTAAGTGGGGGCGTTGATTTGAAGAATGCGCCTAAAAGAAAGTGGGACTCTTATGTTATAGGGGATCCTGATTTGAGGGGGGGCTCTGATGTGAAAGGAGGGGCTCCTAGTGTGGGAAGGGGTAATCTGATGTGAAGGGACAAGGCTCCTGATGTAAAGGGGGGGCTGGTGTAAAGGGAGTCTCTGATGTGAATGGGGGAGGTGGGGCTCCGATTTGAAGGAGGGGGCACTGATATGAAGGGGGCTCAGAGTGTGAGAGGTGGTAATCTGATGTGAAAGGATGGGGCTCCTTATGTGAAGGGGGCTCCTAAGGGGGCCTCTGGTGTAAAGGAGGACTCTGATGTGAAAGAGGGGGGCTCTGATTTGAAGGGTGTGACTCTGATGTGTAGCAGGAACCCCATTTTTATTGTGATTTTGGATTAAATTCCATACTAGACCCCTAACTGGGATGAGGGTCTGGTGTAGTTTTTGGATGGGCCACAAGTTATTTTTTACATTTAAGACTGTGGTGCCTCAAAATTGTTCATGCTTTTAAAAAAAAAGGTTGAGCAACGTTGTCCTAGACCATGCTTGATATTATCACTATATGCATGTAAATCAGAGCCTCCTCCTTATCACTATGTGCATATAAAGCTGGCCATTCACTTTAGAGAACTGCTTGATTCCCCCATCCACGCTAGATAGCGTCCATGGAGGAATCTCCCATGCTCCCCTCTGCTGCGTATTGTTTTCAGGCAGCCTTGAAAGTGTGACTTCCTGAATACCTAAATGGTAATTGAAGCTGATTGACTGCAGTTACTGTTCGCCTAACAATTTTCCACCAAACTCTTCCTTTTTTTTTTTTTTTTTCAGGGCCACACATGGTTGGAATATGGGCGAATCTGCCAAAATTCAAGCCATGCATGGCCAGCTTAGGTCAAAGTCTAAGTGTGAAGGTATCTAAAGGAAATACATGACTAAATATAAGCAGATTAAACTGCACCTTTAAATGCACCTACTGTTTTTATTAGTTCATATAAAGCTAAAACCACAAAAACATCAACTTTAGAATGACAAACCCAGGTGAACATTGTGTGTGTTCCGTCCACCTTCGGTTAATCATTCCCAGAGCCCCTTCCTCCATAATAGAAAGACAGCAGCACTGGGTACCGGAAGTTATCTATCAGTTTAAGTTTAGAACTTTTGGCAAAAGTGTCGGGAGCCGAGAAACAAAACTGTCTTTTATTATCAATATGTTCTTTATTAAAGGGAAACGTTAAAGGATTTCAGTCGTTTATAGTTTTATTGTAATGTTTTATATCTGTATTGTTCAAAAATTTATATACTAGGGATGCACCGATACCGAGTATTAGGGTGAGTACGAGTACTCACCCAAATGCTCCGATACCTTTGCCGATACCGGACCTTCCGGTCAGAGGGAGATTCCCTGTGACCGGCAGTGCCGCGAGGGAACATGGAGTCGGCTTCCCGGCCAATCGGGAAGCTGGGCGGCGGGCAGAGGCGTAACTAGAACCTTCAGGGCCCCAGTGCAAGAAACCATGAAGGGCCCCCCCCAACCCCCCCACGGCACCGCATGGTTAACAGGAAGGTGGCCGAGGTCCCCAGCAAGCTTGGGACCTCAGGAAGCTGCTTGTTTAAAATTTTAGTGCCGGTGTTCTGTCGAGAACGCTGACCCAGTATCTGTGTTTATATACAGACGGGATTACCGAGGAAACCGGCATTTATTTACAAAGTATTTGTTTGTAATGGTTAATTGTGACCGTTAATGATATGCCGTCCATGGCAGGAAATGATCGACAGAATATTATTATCGGTCACAATTAACGATTTAAACGAAATACTTTGTGAATAAATCCCGGTTTCCTCGATAATATTGGTCTGTGTGTAAGCGCAGATGCTGAGGTCGGCAAATTCGACTAGGTCAGCGTTCTCGGTATCTGCATTTAGTATCGGGGCATTTTCACGAGTATAAGTACTCAGGAAAATGCCCAGTATTGGCAGTGGTGCATCCCTACTTAAAAATATAATGCATTGCTGGGACTTGTAGTCCTACATAGTTGGAGCTATTCTGCATTGCTGTATAATCTTCATACACCAATGCACAATACCACCAGCTATGCGGGACTACAAGTCCCAGCAATACATTATAATAAAAGTAAAGTATGCAGAATACCACCAGCAAACAAACCCCCCCCACCCCATAATGCATTGCTGGGACTTGTAGTCCTACATAGTTGGTGCTATTCTGCATTGCTGTATAATCATCATACAGCAATGCAGATTACCACCAGCTGTGCTGGACTACAAGTCCCAGCAAAACACACACACACTCTCTCTCTTCCCAGCGCCCACTCCAAACTTACCTTCCCTCTCCTGCAGGCCCATGGCACTCTTCCTCGTCTTGGGGGCCAGCGGGCGGAGCTAAGAGACGGCCCTCTTAGCTCCACCCCTAAGAGGCGGGGCCAACTCATTCTCCGGGATCAGTGACAGCGTCTCCAGCCCTTTCGCACAGCCGCCCGTACATGCTGCGGGTGGCTGTGCGACAAAGAAGGAGGGGCACGATCGCGGGGGGGCCCTCTGCTTCCTTGCTGGGCCCCCCCAAGTGGCGGAACGCCAGGGCCCGGTCGCAATTGCGACCGCTGCGACCCTGGTAGTTCCGCCAGTGGCGGTGGGTAATGGTGGGTCCCTTCCTGATTGGATGGGAAGCAGGCTCTATGCTGATTGACTGGGAAGCCGGCTTCCCGGCCAAACAGCATGGAGCTGGCTTCCCAGGCA